TGGTGATGAATGAACCTTATATGTCCTATTTGCATTCTCCAGTGAATGTTGTGTCTTTGACGCTTTCATTCACCAGAAAGGTCTGAAGTCTCTGAAGCCCAATTGTACAGGCAATGAGATGGGGGAAACCAAACCTAGAGGACCTTCATGATGACCACACATGGTTCCCAGATTGTACATATTCTGCAGTAATAGAATATAGCAGTGCAGATGTGTTTGTGATAACAAAGACATGGGGTGACTTAACCAGTTCCAGAGTCATATGGTCTCTCAAAGGGCTGCTAGAGACTCTAGGCCCTGGGAAACCCCTTATTGTCTGTATTTTGCTTCAGGAAGAACCTCTAGAATAATAATAGAAGACATGGAGTGTCAGCAGTTGCCAATGTTTCCAGGGCCAGTGAGATATAATAAGCTTTCCAAACCAGTGCCTGGTCTTCTCTCTAAACCAGCACTGGACTTTCCATAGAGATGCTGCTGCTTTACATCACTGCAAGATCGATAGAAAACACAGCCTACGCTACTTCAGTTTTCATCACTCCTTGTTTATTCTTTAAAGAATAACTGTACTTTTGGTATACTCCTAAGGGATGAATGGACTTTTAGGAATAAATACCTTTTCATCAATGGTGGACGGCCTTTCAATAGAGATGATTGGACTTTTAAGGATTGATTGAGTTTTTATTGACGGTGGACAGACATTCTAAGGGATGATTGGACTTTTAAGACTACATGGAGTTTGTATCAATGGTGGACGGCCTTTCTATAGGGATGAATGGACTTTTAGGGATAAATAGACTTTTCATCAATGGTGGACAATCTTTCAATAGGAATGATGGGACTTTTAAGACTATATGGAGTTTTTAATCGAAGGTGGATGGCCTTTCTATAAGGATGAATGGACTTTTAGGAATAAATAGTCTTTTGATCAATGGTGGACAGCCTTTCTAAGTGATGAATGGACTTTTAAGACTATATGGAGTTTTAATCAATGGTGGACAGTCTTTCTATAGGGGTGAGTGGACTTTTAGGGATTAATGGACTTTTCATTGATGTTGAACATCCTTTTTTATAGGGATGAATGAAACTGGGGTGCACAAGAACAGCCTGGCCAGAAGACTTTCGGGGAAGAGGCTCCAGCAGGCTGCACGGTGAAGAAGTCGGAGGAGCCGAGACATGTAAGTGTAACACATGGAAGGTATGTGCTAAGGAACTGTACTAGATCGAAAGCAGATTTAAACCGCATAAGGAGCATCCCTGTATTTGTCATCTGCTCCCCCCTGACTAAAACAGAAAAAGGTGTTAACCGGCAGGAACAGAACTGCAACATTATAGTAGAAAGAAACATTCATGATTCTGTTCGTATGGACAAAGGGGCAAAAAAAAAAAAAGATGGGATGCATGGTGCTGCAGTTACCTTCCTGCTTTCAAAAAGAATGCTTTAAAAATGGATCAAAGACTATAGTACACGTCGCCCATGCAAAGAGCATTGTGTATAATGCAGTAATCAACTGCAGCCAGTTACAATTCATTTCTCATTGATCCGGCCTCATGTAAATGATAACTAGCACATGTGATAGGTATGTTCCAGGTACTATTACCTAACTACTCACTGCCTTCCATGTGGTAAAGTAGCATTTACATATCTGTATGACTGAATGGCCACAGCCTGAAATTCTTGATCACATTGCACAGTTTACTCTACCCATAGTTCACCTGGATTTTCAGGTTCATCCGCATACTTCTCTTGTTAATTACAATAGCATTTGTAGGATGTCGGTCAGTCTGGATTAACTCCTCAGACGCCACAGAAACTACAGTTATAGAAAACCACTCATTGCAAAGGAAGCAGAATTCCTGGTCGGTGTCACTGCTGGGCTGGTTACTCTTGAAATACCTGCAGCTTTGTACACGCTTCCTGGATAGGTTCTATACAATAAGAGGGACGTGTCACCGCTGAGAGAGTGGAAACAATTCAGAGCATTTGGCCAATTATCCTCAAAGCCATGGATCCCTATAAACTTTCACCTTGCTAGGAATCTGCGGCGGAGAATGGCGGTCACAAGAACAATGCATTCTTCGGTTCGCGTTAAGTAGTTAAATCAGAGCAAGCATGCAATATATTTTTTAGGTTAGGTCCGTGAGTGATAAGTAAGGTGTCATTGCTGGTATTCATTGCCTCTCCCAGTACCAAGATCACAGTACTCCCAGAGGTGTCCTGTGGCGGGGTGACACCCGGTGCCGGTTCCGCGTGACACCCCGCGTACGCGTGTGATGACGTCACGTGCGGTACCGCTGTTACCTGCCGGCGGCCATCTTGGAGATAGATGCCGGCAGAGAGAGGAGGGGACGTCACCCAGCGGGATAAGGAATGCCGTCGGGTCCCCTCCTCTCTCGAGCAACTGTCGGGCTCTCTGTCCTTGACCGAGTGCCCGACTTTTCAGAGGGGGGTGACACCAAAATGACAGTCAGTCATTTTGGTGTCACCCCTTCAGTGGTGTCACCCGGGTGGGGGCCGTACCCCCCTTGTGACGCCACTGAGTACTCCCCCAGCACTCATTTGCTTTTCTCTACAGAAGGATGGTACCATCTTTGTTCCGGTTATCATCTATTATCACCATCTACTTCCAGGACTGAGAGAGAAGACCCAATCATGTCAATTCTGCCTTGTGACTTTCTATGAGGTTCAATTAAGCTTTATTCACTGGTGGAAGTGTTAAAGTGGACCACTCAGTAACTTTACTAATCATTTCCTGACATGTCACAATATACAACAATAGAATATTTTTTTTTCCCTAAAAGCTTTGCTCATTAAAAAGCCACCTCCATTGACTTTGCCAAGGCTGACATGATGTCATCGGTCTTCTGCAGGCAGGAGGAGGCATTCCTCAGTCTCCTCTCCCCCCAGTGAATAGTATTGCTCTGGTTAATGTCAGAATGGTGAAGTCTCTTGTCACAGAGCCACCAGCTCAACATAACCTATTAGTACTTGCCCAGGGGGCAAATGCTCCCCAGCCCAGTTCTCCCCTGATCCCCCCTTGGATGTCTGAGTGTTTCTGATCTATCCTCTAATGTTTCCAAGCTGCACATAGTACTCTCCATAATATCAAATACATTTAAACAATCCCAGAATGGTGAGAAACAAAGAGAGAGAGAGAGCAACCTACCAATTGGCATTCATCGGACAATCATTTCACCCAACGTATGGATTCCTTTAATCCCAAAACATTTTTTGAAGCAGGTCTGAGGATTCTGCTCTGAAGTACATATATATAAGGCAGAGGTGAAAGGACTGTGGTTGTAGCTTATCGGCGTGTCCTGTATCATTTAGGAATACCAGGTAATAAGGGATCTTTAAGATTTTGTTGACTGAAACGCCTCTAGTGCCGTAAGTTAAATATTTACCTTACAGAGCACACACCTAGGATTTTCCTTCTCAGCCTACATGAGAAATTATTTCTCTTTTCTCAGGACTCGCCATACCACACAGGTAAAACGCCCCTTGCTGGGATCATGTCAGACTGATTCATTGGACCCCTTTCAGATGGGCGGTCTGATTAGGCCTGCCAGTCTGCTTTTCAAGTGGATCTTACTGGAAGCCTATACGTTAGTCTATGGGCAGCCGTATCTAAACAACGTGTGTCCGTTTACATCAGATTCCCCCCGACTCCGTCTAGGTCCGGAAAACACAATGGAACAGACTTCTGTTTTGGTGGACCCGATTGAGACGGATCGGGGGAATCTCATGTAAATGGCAACGTGTCTGCTTACATCCGACTCCCCATAGACCTAACATGAGTCTGGTAAGTTAATTTTTTTCCTACATGGAGGAAATAACTCAGCAATCACAGATGATACAGCGGTGACCCAGGTCCCCTGCTGATCGCAACTGACAGTGTCCGTGTGAAAGGGACCTTGAGAAGTCCGTTTACATCCAGTCCCCTCCCCAGACTCCGGCCTGAGTTCTGTTTTGCCAGACCTGATCGTGCCAAATTGGGGGTAATCTGATGTAAACAGACACATGTCCATTTACATCCGACTCCCCATAGACCGACATGGATCCGGCAGTTTTAGTTCTTTTCTCCATCACAAGTTGGAGGAGAAAACTGGGCGGACATGGATGTCACATCAGTGGCATCAGATCCATACTGCTTCGATGAGGATGGTATCCGTGCACAAATCTCTTCCTGATCAGTTAATTCCTAAAGATATACTTAATTGTTGGTCCACTTTATGCTTATCCTTGCAGTCCAGACTGTACGTTTTACTACGCATTTTAGACTTAAAGGAGAACTATGGGGTCAGGGCTTTTCCCCATAGTTCTCCTAAGGGTAACGGGAGGACACAAACTAGCGCCCCACCCGTCACCCAAAGCTCAGTATACCGCGAGCTACAGCTCGTGGTATACTTAGACGCCGCAGCTGAAACGGATCCCGACAATTATGTCTGGATACACCCAGCTGCGTGAGTGACAGCTGGCTCTGCCTATCTAAAGGCAGAGCCAGCTGTACCCGCCCCCTCCCCCATCCGTTTCACCAGTCAGCGCTGGAGGATCGGACAAGGGAGGGGGGAATCCAGTCCCTCCCCTGTCACGGCTCTCTGCAGTGACAGGATCGAGAAGTGAGCGAGCGCCGGTATGTGTTCGCTCACTTCCCGATCTACTGAGCCGGCCTGTGACAGTCTCATTGTCACAGGTCGGCTAGAACTATGAGGTGAGTGAAAAGCACTCACCTCATAGTTCTCCTTTAAAATACAATTTAGGCACATTATCATTTCCAGATTCAGCACAAGCAGATTCTACAAGCAGATCTAGGCCCAAGACCCCCAAAAAGTTAGCATTTACATCCAATTATATGCTATATATATATATATATATAAAAAATCGCTCACGCATACAGTATTAAGACATCGGCTGATCACCTATACACATACACTGGCTGTGTACAATAAAAGGGCATTTCCTTTTATTAAAAATGTAAACATCTCCTAATTTTTTTTTTTACAACAGTAGAGGGCAAAATATCCAGAGTGCTAAAACCTTCATGGCCGGTATGCCCAGATATATACATCGATCTGTGTTCCCGTGACCTTTGCTTGGCTCCCCCCCTCAGTCCATCATGTACAGTCCCAGACACAAAACACGTAGAACGGGTCCAGTAGCATCATGCAGAGCACTTGAGGGAAAAAAAACAAAAAAAAACCATGCAGAGCAATGCTTTGCAGAGCCCTCAGAACGGGCCGTGGTACGGGCACGTTCAGATAATCTTTGGCACTTGATGGCAAATTAATACCTATCTTGGCCCCAGGAAACACCCATCTACGTGACCATGTGATGTCCTGTGATATCAGGCAGTGATATTGTGTTGCTATTCCCTTGTTTTTTAAATTACACCCCATGTAAGGCTGGGATATAAATGATCTGCAACAATGAATAAGAATGGGCATGTGTATGTAACAGTGTCTAGTTTTGTCTCTCACATACTCAGCTGGGAATGTAATAGGAAAGGCCACCCTGTCTCCGGGTATTACACAGTTTAGGGGTGTCCGTCCCAATCGGGCAGTTATTTTTGCTGACTGCTGAGCATTGAATATGATTAGAGACATCTCTGTGACCTAGCTGGGTGCTTTCTGTAAAACGGGGCTGCAGACTAACATGAGCAGTTATTCTGCTCCTTTGGAGAAGAGTCGGAAAGGTGTGTGGTACCACTAGCTGGCCCCGGTCCGTTCTCCAGGCTTTCATTCATCTTCTCGCAGATGATGTCCACCAGACGCTCAAAGACTTGCTTCACGTTGATGTTCTCTTTTGCGCTGGCCTCAAAAAACTCGAACCCTGAGGAAAAAGCAAAACGGTGCCTGTTATGTGTTGTAATAATGGGCTACGTTGTAGACAAGGGTTTGAAGGTGAAGCTGTCTATGTTGCCTTATGGCCATTTAGCAGATTGTACTTGACAACTGACTTGACTGATGGATTAGTCGATTACGTCCCTCTGTTAGAAAACCCCAATAAACACACAGACTGTGCGCGACATGGATTTAAATGGCCACAGCAGTCCTTTTATTAAGTAATAAACAAAGTAATAAACAAAATTATATACAAATAAATACTCTTAACGACTGTTGGATCTGAGAAGGGGTCTTTGAGCATCTAACAGCCCAAATAAGGCCTCTCCTAAAACTCTTCCCATGTCCGCAGCCGCACCCCAACCGGCTCAAGGACAGTTACTGCTCCCAAGTTCCAAGGGGCCAAATACAAATACTGACACCAACAGGGGGAAGCACCCATACTAGCTGATGGCCCCCCATTTGTGTACCTGACTCAGAGTTTCAGACCCCCCAATGACCCCCTAACCCACCAAGCTGCCGTGACATAAAAAAGACCTCAGAAACCACAACATTCAGGGAGGGCGGTCGGGACAACCTGCTTCCTACGTCGACTTTCTGGAAAGAACGCCCCACAGCCCTTGCAGTTCCAACCCATGCGGCTCCTCCCGGACACCCGACCCCAACGTCCAATCAGGTAAATACAGCTAATTCCCATTTTATTTTAACCCCTTCTACAGGGACTATTCCTCACCCCAGTCATGCAGCCCCTCCGCTCAGTCTCTATGGGTCGGTCTTTAAAAAAAAAAAAAACCCATCAGAATTAATTTCCATAACCTCTCAAATGTATTTTTAAAAAATTAGCTGCTGTGAGATTTTAGTGAAGATCCCCAGGCCTTCCCTGTAGGCTGTGCGGTACTACCACATGCTGCTTCTGTCTTTTCTAGGTCAGAAGACTACTTTTCCCAGGCAGAGCAAATCCCACACATCACTTACCAAGTTCCTCAGCCAACCTTCGTCCATCTTCAGCTGGGATTACTCGCTCGTCTTCCAAGTCACACTTGTTCCCAACCAGCAGGACCTGTGCGTTGTCCCAGGAGTATGTCTTGATTTGTGTTGCCCTATCAGGTAAAGAGACAGAAACCTAAAATGAGTGAACCCAATCAGATCCTGTGAAGATCAGATAGTCACCAGTACACACACAATGTATCATTGATCCTGGTTCATTGTACTGAATAAACATCATAATTCGCCATATATAGGCAACATTTTGAGGCCACGCAGGGTTCCTACCTGGTCACTATGTCGCGCTGAGGAAAGGACCTTGCGCAGTCCTGAAACATTGCATATACAGTGGTACCTCGGTTCACGAACGCTTCTGTTCGCGAACAGTTCGGTTCGCGAACAGGAAGTTTGGCAAAATGTTGCTTCCATTCGCGAACTCCGCTTCGGGTGACTAACACAACCGCAGCCATTTTCCCTGCTCTGACACATGGTCATGGCTTCCTCTAGTCGAGATCACGGTCTGATCACAGTTTGCGGCCAGAATCGCCGAACGAATTAAGTTCGTGAACCGAGGTACCACTGTATATGACAAATGGTGATGTTTATTCAATAAAATGAAACAGGATCAATGATACATTGAGTGTGTGCTGGTGACTATCTGATCTTCATTAGAGTTCCACACGGCACCATCCATGTCATCACTACGAGCACCACCATCTTGCAAGGTCACACCGCTCTATGGAGTGCAGGTGACAGGATCCTGGACAGGATCCTAGATATTAAAGGAAAAGTGTACTTTATATTAACTACCTCCCGGCCAGCCGCTGTGTATACACGGCCTGCCGGGAGCTTCTTGGATGTAACTGGGCGTGTATACACGTCCTGTTACATCCGCCCGCTCGGGCACGGCGCGCGGCGCGCGCGAGCGGGAAATCCCCGCTATTTGAAAAGAGGCAGCGATGCCCGTTAATATACAAGCGATCC